CTGGTGGATATGGGTGGACAGATTCTTATGTGAGGGTGCCAGTGTCTGACTCTAAATTGGGGTGTGTGTGTGTGTGTGTGTGTTTGTGTGTACTTGGGGCTGGGGGATGTGGGTGGACAGGTTTTCATATGAGGGTTTTGTGGGAGATGTTGACTGGTTTCACGTGGGGTCTCATGTGAGGGTGCCAGTGTCTGACTCTAAATTGGGTTGTGTGTGTGTGTGTGTGTGTGTGTGTACTCTGGGGCTGGGGGATGTGGGTGGACAGGTTTTCATATGAGGGTACCAGTGTCTGACTCTAAATTGGGTTGTGTGTGTGTGTGTGTGTGTGTGTGTACTCTGGGGCATGTGAGGGTGCCAGTGTCTGACTCTAAATTGGGTTGTGTGTGTGTGTGTGTGTGTGTGTGTACTCTGGGCTGGGGGATGGGGGTGGACAGGTTCTCGCCACACAAATGCACCGCCCTTGGGGGGCTTGATTCCCACCAGACATGGAAAATTTGTGTATTTATATTGACAAATTTCCAGCAGACGGCAGTCAAGGGTCCCTTTCAATTAAATGTCAGTCCTTTGTGATGACAATGTGACCTGTTCTGATTTGTACAAAGGTGCCCTGTGAGCTAGTCATGGAGTTGTGTTACCTGTGTAGGTCTTTGTGTGGAAATGGCTTTCTCTACCCAAGAGAATGTTTCTTTTTTTTTTTTTAATTTTTATTGAATCAAAATTGATTATACAAATTTTGGGGGTTCAGCATTGAGATATGTTGATCAAATCAATATTACTAGTGTACATATTGTTACAAATCGTAATTATTATTTATGCCTTTTGTCCAATCCCACCCCATCCCCCTTCCTCTCCCCTCCCCCCTCTAATCACCCTAGATTTCTTCTCTCCTCTGAAAGAATGATGGTTACTCTGTTGATTTGCTGCCCAAATGGTCTGTCCAATGCTGAGAGGCGTGATCAGGTCCCCCAATACAATCATAGAGCAGATGCCTCTTCCGTCACTCTGAAATGGGCTCTGTGGAGACAGACATCCTCCTCCTTTCGTTATCTCTGCTGGTGACTCTCCTTGTGTCAACTCACTCCAGTGGCTGGTGGACGATCTGCGTGGTGGTTGTGGCATCTAGCCGCCTTCACGGCAGCCATGGTTATCATGGTGGCTGTGGTGGGCCACCCACATGGAGAAGATGTTTTTGGCATGCTCCTTGGCACTGGCGGTGTGCCTGGTTGTCGAGAATGTCCGATCCCCAGCTCCATACCCCAGGTCCTGGAGTAGGTCCTGAGGCACTGGCACAGTGTGCCTGGTTGTGGGAGGGGTGTCCAGTCCCCTTCTCCATGCCCCAGGTCCCTGGGTGGGCCTCAAGGCACTGACATGGTGAGCCCAGTTGTGGGAGGGGGGTCTGGTCCCCTTAAGAGAATGTTTCTAAGTCTACATGTTTCTAAGTCTACATGTTTCTAAGTCTACTAAGTCTACACACTGTTGAAGGCAGTGTGTCCCCTTGTGAGGGGCTCTGTGTCTGCTATTGATAACTGAGTGTATCCCCTGATGGCTGAGTGCACCTGTGGATGGCAAGTGTCTGGCCATAGGTGGCCAACTATTCAGCTGTGGAGGGCCAGGTGTCCCCCTGTGGGTGGATGTACACCCCACCTCCATGGCCAAGCATCCAGCCACGGGTGGTTGACTGCCTGGCCATGCAGGGCTGAGTGTCCACACGGGTGGTCCTGTGACTTGCTGCGTATCTGCCCTTGAATGACTGTGTGTTCCCCTGTGAACATGGCCATTCCCTTCTCTCTTTTCCTCCCTCTGTGGCCTGTTACTAGCCGGTCTGGAGATTGAGCTGAATCTGGCCTCAACTTCCCCAGTCCCTGGCATCTCTCCATGAGGCTCTGGCGAGTGCAGTCCATAGCATGTGTGGTGGGGGGTGCACTGAGCACAGTAGGAGGGCACCCAGGTGGCTGTAGGGGTGACATTTCCTTCCTGCCTCCCCAGGCTGAGGCCCCGGAAGGAGCAGGGCACGTATGCACTGTCCCTGATCTACGGGAAAACCGTGTACCACTACCTCATCAGCCAGGACAAGGCGGGCAAATACTGCATTCCCGAGGGCACCAAGTTTGACACACTCTGGCAGGTAGGCTGCCCACACACCTCATTCTGGGGGCAGCGCTGTGATGGACGCCCAGGTTCCGGGGAGGAGAGGAGGCCCTGCCCTGACTCCCCTCTCTGCAGCTGGTGGAGTATCTGAAGCTCAAGGCCGACGGGCTCATCTACTGCCTGAAGGAGGCCTGCCCTAACACCAGCGCCAGCGCTGCTTCGGGTGAGTGGCCGCAGGCTGGGCTGGGGGGCAGGAGCCCCATCCCCCCCCCCTCACTGTCCCTTCTGCTCCCCCAGGGGCCGCTGCTCCCACACTCCCAGCCCACCCCTCCACGTTCACCCACGTGAGTCATTGACATCTCAGAGCTGGGGACCCAGGCATGGAGCTGGGTGGGTGGGCTCCTGGGGGAGGCTGGGATGGAGGAAGGGGTCACTGTGGAGGGGAAGAGGGTCTTCCTCAGCACTGACTCTGGGGAGTTCTGAGTGGATATGGGTCTCATGAGAGGGGCTGGGTGCCCCCAGCTCGGGCGCTGCTGACCATTGCTGACCCTGTGTCCTATAGACTCAGAGACGGATTGACACCCTCAACTCAGATGGATACACCCCTGAACCAGGTGAGCCGGCAGAGATGGAGGTGTGTGTGGGCTCAGGCCGAGAGCAAGGTCTCTGGCTGGGCTGTGCGGTTTGGCAGGGAGGGTGTGGGCCAGGCCCAGTCTGCAGCGGTTGCATTGGTTTACCCTGTGCTCACGCCATGGCCACACCATCAGGCCTGCCTGTATGCATGTCCATCCTGCTGCACTCAGGGGACTGCTCCCAGCCACATCGGGGGCTCCCCGTGCACAGGCACAGGTTTGCTGAGTGTCTACTGTGTGTCAGTCACATTCAAAGGTCACCGTGTGCATGAGCTCACTGAATCCTCCCAATACACCATATGAAGTAGGTATGGTCAGTATTTTCATTTTGCAGAGGAGAAAGGGAGAGCAGGTAACTTTGTAAGGTCCTGCAGCTAGGCAGTGGCGGAGCGGGATTTGAACCCAGACGGACATGTTCCTAAAGCTGCAGGTGCTCATGTGTTTCACATGTAGATGCAGACCTGTCCACATGTGTGCACAGAGAACACACGTGGTTACACATGCACCCAAATGCTCACCTTTGGAGGCCTCCTAAACATGGCTGTGTGGTGCACATGTAGACATAGGCAGGCCTGGACACAGGTGTACACATGTGAATGCTCACACGTCCATGCTCCAGCTGGCTCACTATGCACACAGATTCACACTCTTCTACAGTCCACTTGTACATGGCTTCACAGGCACCCACAGCTGTGACCAGGAATGCATGCATGTGCATGCGCGTGAACATACATGTGCACCCTCGTGCCTGTGCATGCTCTGGGGGCACACTTTTGTCTCTTTGTCGGGGTACTTGCGCTGTGGGGGCTGAGACTGCCCTGCCCTTCCCCCTCCCCCCTGCCTGCCCTCTCCCTGCTTCTGACCTGGGAGTGCGCGGCTGTGTGTGTGCCCAGCACGTATAGAATCCCCAGACAAGCCGCGGCCGTTGCCCATGGACACAAGCGTGTACGAGAGCCCCTACAGTGACCCTGAGGAGCTCAAGGATCATGATTAAGTGTAAAGTGTGTTGGAGGCTGAGTGCTGTGGAAGAACGAGAGGGGCAGGTCAGGGGCTGGGAGTGTCAGGGTGCGAGGTACAGTGAGAAGGTGAGGTTTGAGCAAACCGAGGGAGGCAGCCAAGCACAGATCTGGGAGAAGAGCCTTCCAGGCAGAGGGCACAGACTGTGCAAAGGGCCTGAGGTGGGCCGGTGCTTGGTGCAGTGGAGAAATGGTGGGAGGGAGCTTATGTGGGCTGGGAGGTCATGGGGCAGATGGTGCAGGGCCTGTGGGCTGTGAAGAGGGCTTGGGCTTGTAGCCTGAGTGAGGCAGGAGCCCTGGGAGGTTGTGAGCAGGGGTGGGGAAGAGGGGAAGGATCTGACTCAGATGGGGGGAGGACGAGACTGGCAGGCAGTGTACAGCCACAGCACCCTGAACGTGCCTGATCTTCCCTGATCTGCAGCTAAGTGGGGTCGGCCCTGGTTAGGACTTGGACGGGAGACTGCCTGGGAATACTGGGCGCTGTAGGCTTTAAAAAAACGAAAAGACTGGGAAGCAGCCAGGAGGGAGCCCCAAGGCCTGGGTGGAGCCACCTGTCCTGGTCCAGGCAAGTGCTGATGGGGCTGGATCAGGGTGGCAGAAGCAGAGGTGGGAAAAGTGGGGTTCTGGAGAGATTCTGAAGGCAGAGCTGCCAGGGTCTGCTGACGGATCAGATGTGAGAGAGGGGAGGGGAGGGCATGCCACAGAAGGACGGAGCTGCTGGGGGGACGGGGCGGGAGCCGGTGTGTGGGCGTGTGTGCCTGTGAATGATCAGGGGGGCAGCTTTGGCTGTATTATCCCTAAGAAGTCCGTGAGACCCCTGAGGGCACATCGAGGGTGCAGGCAGAGGTATGGGTTGGAATCATAGCACACGGGTGATACTTAAGGCCTGGAGACTGGACGAGGGGTTTTACCTGTTTTGTTCCCAGTCACAGCCTCATGCCTGGCACACAGGAAGCGTCTGTGGAACACATGGGAATCTGGCTCATGCTTAGCTGGGTCAGAAAGTGGGCTTTGCTCCCTGGGAACTTGGGCTTCCTCTCCCAGCTGACCCTGCCTTTCCCCCCACCCCAGGGAGGAGATCCCCGTTAGCAACGTGGCTGAGCTGCTGCACCAGGTGTCCATGGGCATGAAGTACCTGGAGGAGAAGAACTTTGTGCACCGTGACCTGGCGGCCCGCAATGTCCTTCTGGTCAACCGGCACTATGCCAAGATCAGCGACTTTGGCCTCTCCAAGGCACTGGGTGCTGACGACAGCTACTACACCGTGAGCCTCCACCCCTGGGGTGCCCAGGTGGGTGGGTTTGGGGGGCAGAGGGTCCCCGAGCCCTCCCCCGGCAGCATCTCCCCTTCCCCAGGCCCGCTCAGCGGGGAAGTGGCCGCTCAAGTGGTACGCGCCCGAGTGCATCAACTTCCGCACGTTCTCCAGCCGCAGTGACGTCTGGAGCTACGGGGTCACCATGTGGGAGGCCTTCTCCTATGGCCAGAAGCCCTACAAGGTAGGCTTGGGCAGAGGCGGGTAGGTGGTAAGTGGGGGTGAGGGTGACGGGGCCCTGGTTACTCACACATGCCCTGGTTGGAGCAGAAAATGAAGGGACCCGAGGTCATGGCCTTCATTGAGCAGGGCAGGCGGATGGAGTGCCCTCCAGAGGGTCCACCTGAAATGTGCACACTCTTGAGCAACTGCTGGATCTACAAGTGAGTGCCAGGGACGGGAGGGACCCAGCCAGACTGAACCCTGGGCCTGGGGCAGCAGGCTCTGTTGCCTGATCAGAGTCAACATAACTCTGCTCATTGTCATCCCACCCAAAGACCCTCATCCAGTCCATGGCCTTTTCAACACTCAGTACCTTTAGTCCCCCTAGATCTACACTCAGCTCTCTGACAAACTGGCCTTACGGTGCTCCAGTGGGCCAGCACCCCAGCACTCTGCCTGTGGACACCCAGGGCTCCAGCATCTAAAACCTCAGCCCTTCACCAGCCAACACTCAACCCATGGATCCTGCGATACTCAGACAAAGTCCATGCTCTGTGACCCAACACACAGCACCAGTACTCAGGGCGTGGGATAATTCTCCAGTGTCTAATAACTCAGTCCTCCACCAACCAACACTCAACGCCTAATCACCCAGACAGGCCAGCACCTAGGAACCCAAGCACTCAATATATTTCAACCCCTCACCTCTGTCTGGTTGAAGCCCAGCACGCAAACATCCCAACTCCTAACACCATCAGTATCCCAACTTCCCACGAGACAACAGGCAACACACCCAAACAAGCTGTCACCCTACAGTGCAATGTGTGAACATTCCAACATCTGATACCCCACTGGCCAACATTTATGACACTGACACCTAAATACTCAACCAGTCAAGCAAATAGACACCCTAGTTGGTCAGTCCATTCTACTCCAACATGTATTAACTTGGCCTCCATCAGGAAACACCCAGTGCGCCAACACCTCAATACTCCAAGAGGGCAGCATCTAACACCCCAATAGAATATGCGGATATCCCATACATAGTACGACTAGTCCCCCAACTCCCCAGTGGCCACACCCACCCACAATACTAACCTTCTGCTTGATTATGGGCCACGTAATTGCACCCATGTAAGCCTGAGCCTAGCACACTCATTCCCTGGCCCTCGGCACCCACTCAGTAATTCAGCATTCAGTCGTCCGTCACCCCACAGCCAATGGTTGTCACTCTGGCTCCCAATGAACTCAGTTCCCTAAGTCCGCACCAGTCGACACTGGATGTGTGGTTATCCCAACATATTGCATGTCAGCAGCTCCACCTCTCCTAGGTGGTACAGCAAGACCCGGATTCCAGTACTCTCACTCCCAGAACACCTCACCATATTCCATCACCCCAGCAGCCCCACTGACCTTTCTGAGCCCTGAAAGTCCACCACAACCGTGCCCCATGCATGCCCACCCTCAAGCTGAAGTTGGGTTCAAGGGTGTGGTCAGTGGCCTGGATCTGCAACCTCCCCCCCACCATAGGTGGGAGGATCGTCTGCACTTCCAGACCGTGGAGCAGCGCATGCGGACCTATTACTACAACTTGGCGAGCAAGTCTGAGGAGTCCCCGGGGTGCAGGCAGGGGGCCGAGGTGGCATGTACCTGAGCTCCAGCCTGCCCAGGGCCTGCAACCCCCCACGTCCCCAGCCCCATCCCAGGACCTGCAGTCTGGCTGAGGACTGTGGTGGGGGGGACATCTGAGGCCTCAGGCCCACTCCAATCTCACATTTCCTGCCTCGCCCCCCTCCTCACTGGCTGGGGTTGTGCATCCTGGTCCTGGGCTGATGTTGACTGGGGGGCCCCCGAGCTGAGGGGCATTACTTATAACCAGGACCTCCTTCCTCTGGACAGTCCCCAGATGGCAAGACTGGAATCATTGGAATAAACCCAGCTTCCCTGTTGTTTGAGCTCCTTTGTCTTTTTCAGGGCGAGGGTAGGAGGCAGGGGGAAGGGGGTGGGTTATTAGAAGGAGCGTAAGTGCCTGAAAGGGGATTTTCTGGTGTGGGCCAAACCTAGAAGTGGCCCCCCTATCCCCCCAGAAGTGGGGCTGGTTCTCCCACTCCTCTGCCCTAGGGGCATCTTGATGCAAGCGAGGAGCAGTGGCAGAGGGGGAAAACTGAGGCCAGGTGGGTGTGAGGGTCGAGGGGCTGCGGGCACTGCTGGGCCTCAGCTTCCCTGCCGCGTGGATTGCATGCCGCATGTTAGGATCACCTGGAGAGATTCTAACAAATGCTGGCCGCCCCTCCCCTTACTACCTTCCCCCAAGTGAAATCTGCGGTACATTTTGCAGTCTCTAGGTGATTCTATCACCCAGCCCCGTACTCAGCTTCTCCCACCCTCTTCCCTGGGCCCTGGCATCCCAAGTACTGGCCAAGTTCTGTCCAGAAGGACAGTCTCAGAGTCATGCTGCCTTAGTTTCCCCATGTGGGCAATTGGAGTGTTGGAGCGCAGAACCCAACAGGTGGGGTAAAATGGAGCCAGGACCCTGCACCTTTTCCCTCAGCTGCAATCGGCTCGATCCCCAATTTCCAGGCAATGCTCACTCTCCTGGCCAGAGTGATTAGCTCGGGGGTGGGCATGTAACCTGCTCAGAGCCAGTGAGAGGCAAGGAGATGTGCTGGGGCTTCTGGGAAGGCAAACTTTCTTTTTGTGTGTGTAAAGCCAGGAGATCTGGAATGCCCATGGCCATTTTGTGGTCTGTGGGGGAGGGACTGGGCTTTAGCTGTTGTGCAGAGTGGGAGCATGAGACTCAGGTGGGTTACCGCAGAGAAGAGACCCCAGAACCTTGGTGACATGTGAGCACATTGTTGGACCAGGAAATTGATACTGGGACAATACTGTTAACTCAGGTACAGACCTTATTCTTATTTCATTATTTACAGTTGGGTATTGATAATGTTTATGTAAGCTCCAAGTTGCATATTTTTGTTGCTTATTTTTTAATGAACTTCATATTCTACAAGGAAGTTAGTTCAGAGAACCTATGTTATACGGTTAACCCCAGACACACGCAGACGCAGCCATGTGCATTCATTTGGAGAGTAATCTCGGAATGGTTTGGAATTGTTTGGGAGTCACTGGCCCCATGCCAGACTGTATCTTCCTGTGTTTAGATTCAAAGCTGAGGATAGTACAGTGATTGTAAAGATAAAGACATGGAACTAAGACTACTTCTATTTTGTCATTCTGTGTTACCACTTGGAGATTTTTTGTGTTTAAATTTTAAAACGGTGCCTTGCAAATAACGAGATATGTTTATTTGTTGNCTGGTGTGGGCCAAACCTAGAAGTGACCCCCTCCCCAGAAGTGGGGCTGGTTTTCCCACTCTTCTGCCCTAGGGGCATCTTGATGCAAGTGAGGAGCAGTGGCAGAGAAGGGAAACTGAGGCCAGTTGGGTGTGAGAGTCGAGGGGCTGAGGGCACTGCTGGGCCTCAGCTTCCCTGCTGCGTGGATTGCATGCTGCATGTTAGGATCACCTGGAGAGATTCTAACAAATGCTGGCCGCCCCTCCCCTTACTACCTTCCCCCAAGTGAAATCTGTGGTGCATTTTGCAGTCTCTAGGTGATTCTATCACCCAGCCCCCTACTCAGCTTCTCCCACCTTCTTCCCTGGGCCCTGGTATCCCAAGTGCTGGCCAAGTTCTGCTCAGGAGGACAGTCTCAGAGTCATGCTGCCTTAGTTGCCCCATGTGGGTAATTGGGGTGTTGAAGTGCAGAACCCAACAGGTGGGGTAAAATGGAGACAGGACCCTGCACTTTTTCCCTCAGCTGCAATCGGCTCCATCCCCAATTTCCAGGCAATGTTCACTCTTCTGGCCAGAGTGATTAGCTCCGGGGTGGGCATGTAACCTACTCAGAGCCAGTGAGAGGCAAGGAGATGTGCTGGGGCTTCT